TTTATAGGGGCAGTAAACTACTTGATTTTTTTAAAAAAAATGTTGACAAGAGATAGGATCTTGATACACCGAGATAGCTATCAAAATTATTCACCACTACAAAACTATGCTTCCCAATTCTTATACAGGACTCCACACTTTCTACTTCATCTCAGGATAGCGCTGATGTGACAGTCAGCAGAACATTTCCAGGGATTCATCTATTCGGTTTTTAAACACACACACACACACACATCTCTTTGTTTCCTTATAATAGGATCTCATAATCGTTCTTGATATTTACCATTTCCCTCCAGGTCTGCACAGGTAAGAACAGCTGCAGATATGAGGAAAGAACAATTAAAAATAGCATGATTTATAAACATGGACTTTATTTTATAATATCATCTATTTCCCCTCCTTTGTACTGAAATATTCTCAAATTCCTTCCAGTCCACATAATATTTTTTTTCTTAGCCTGAAATGTAATCCAGTAACGCCACTTACAGGTGAATTTAGAATACCACCAGTTTCGAGCAAGGTCCAGTTTCTATTACTGAAGTATATATTTAATTTTTTTCACTTTTTAAAATCGTGTCAGAAGTGAGTTGAGAATATACTGCAAGTGGCTTCTGGTGTGAGAGAATTGGCGGTCTGCAAGGACGCCCGGATGTGTTACCATCCTGTGGGAGGCTTCTCTCATGTCGCCACATGGGAAGCTGGGGCTGACAGGCGAGAGCTCACCCTGTCTTGTGGATTCAAACCACTGACTTCAGGTCAGCAGTTCAGCCGGCACAATGGTTGAACCCATTGCGCCACCACGACTCCAAATTTCCATATATGAAAATAAAGGTATTCCAACATAACCCCTCTCCCTCATTTCCAAAACACTTTTGGTTTCGGAGCATCACAGGAGTCATTTCATTACCTTCGAATTGCTTCATGGCAACAGGCAGAAGGGCAGTGAAATCTTGGAATTCCCAGAGAGGCTTTTTCACCACGATTGGGAAAGGAATCAGATTTGCATTTTTTCTCAACTCGCACCTGCAGAAAAAACATTCATTTGCAATAGGTGATTGTATGAAGAAATGACCTCCCACCTCCGCATGGTTTTACTCCTATCATATCATGATTCCCCTTTTTTACCTTTAAGAGCATTTATGGGGAAGACAACAAAATTATTCTGCCAAGTTTGGATAGAAATTTCGATAATGTTCTCCTTTAGTCTGAGTTTTTAAAATAAAATTTAGCAGTAATTGGAAAATGGATAGATCTGCAATTTGAAAAATTGGGGAAGCCTATTTATTATTATTTATTATTATTAAGAACTGGAATAGAAAGTGTTCTACATATGATCCTGGTAAAAACTCTTTCTCATCCAAGTGTTACTGTATCCTTTGGAGCAGTGGTTCTCAACCTTCCAAATGCCACGACCCCTTATTACAGTTCCTCATGTTGTGGTGACCCCCAACCATCAAATTATTTTCGTTGCTACTTCATAACTGTAATTTTGCTACTGTTATGAATCGTAATGTAAATATCTGATCTGCAGGATGTATTTTCATTCACTGGACTAAACTTGGCACAAATACCCAATATGCCCAAATTTGACTACTGGCAGGGTTGGAGGGGTTGATTTTGTCATTTGGGAGTTGTAGTTGCGGGGATTTATAGTTCACTTACAATCAAATAGCATTCTGAACTCCGCCAATGATGAAATTGACCCAAACTTGGCACACAGAACTCCCATGACCAACTAAAAATACTGGAAGGATTTGGTGGGCATTGACCTTGAGTTTTGGAGTTGTAGTTCACTTGCATCCAGAGAGCACTGTGGACTCAAACAATGATGGATCTGGACCTAACTTGGCATGAATATTCAATATGCCCAAATGTAAACACTAGTGGAGTTTGGGGGAAATAGATCTTGACATTTGGGAGTTGTAGTTGTTGGGATTTATAGTACACCTACAATCAAAGTGCATTCTGGACCCCACCAACAATAGAATTAGTCCAAACTTCTCACACAGAACTCCCATGACCATCAGAAAATACTGTTTTCTGATGGTCTTTGGCGACCCCTCTGACACCCCCTTGTGACCCCCCATGGGGGTCCTGACCCCCAGGTTGAAAAACACTGCTTTGGAGGTTCAAATAACCCCCCTGAAAAAAAAAGCAAATATGGCAGAACAATTTTCATGCAGCAACAGAACAGATGTATTTGTTACCAAACCACAACAAAGTCAACAAATAATTCGTTTACCTTAGATTGCCACTGATAAAGATATAAGGAGGGAGCAAGGCATGTTGTATAATTTTGGATATCAAATTTCTGCACATTTAGAAGGCCAGCTTTTACAGCTTGGCATCTTTAGAATTTGAATTCTCTAAGGAGAAGAGCTATATTATTCAGAACTCGGAATTGACGAATCACAAATAATTAGTTGCTCACATTTGGTTCTTTCTCGTAGCTACATTACATTAAATGTCAATTGGATGCCTCTCTTTCTGCATGTTCATTTTAACCGTTACTTTCATAGTTATCAATGCGTATGGCCCACTAAATAATCGAAGAATATCATATGGTTCAGGGACCGACTCATGTTATGCTTCCTTCTATATGATAAGTAAAGGTAAAGGTTTCCTCTGACGTTAAGTCTAGTCATGCCTAACTCTGGGGTGCGGTGCTCATCTCCATTTCTAAGCCGAAGAGCTGGCATTGTCCATAGACACCTCCAAGGTCATGTGGCCGGCATGACTCCATGGAGCACCATTACCTTCCCACCAAAGCGGTGCCTATTGATCTATTCACATTTGCATGTTTTCAAACTGCTAGGTTGGCAGAAGCTGGGCCTAACAGCAGGAGCTCATCCCACTCCCTGGATTTGAAATGCCAACCTTTTGGTCAGCAAGTTCAGCAGCTCAGTGGTTTCGCCTCCTGTGCCAAAAGGGAGCCCCCTACTAATGTGCATGGCCCACTAAATAATAGAGGAATATCATATGGTTCAGGGACTGGCTCACGTTATGCCTCCTTCTATATGATAGCCATGTATCAGGATATGAGTGAAAGTCATAGGGAGGAGGCTTGTTTTCTGCTCCCCAGGAGATTAGGACATGGAACCATGGCTTCACATTACAGAAAAGAAGATTCCACCTGAACATGAGGAAGAACTTCCTAACTTTGAAAGCTATTCAACAGTGGAACTCTCTGCTCCGGAGTGGGGTGAAGCTCCTTCTTTGGAGGCTTTTAAACAAAGGCTGGATGGCCATCTGTCAGGGGTGCTTTGAATGTGATTTTCCTGCTTCTTGGCAGAATGGGGTTGGACTGGATGCCCACGAGGTATCTTCCAACTGATTATATGATTCTGCTTTGTCACAGGTGTCAAAGTGAATGCTAAGAGAGCCTATTTTGTGCCACAGGATGAGGTAGCATTTGAATGAGTGACCCTGGAGTCTTCCCAATCCTTTTTACACAAATTCTCAGACCAGGTTTGTGTTCAGGGCTTTGTTAACTTGTAGTATACTTACTTCTCCATGGTGTTTCCAATGGTCTAGAAAAGAGAGAAAGGGGAAACTGATTTACATGGCAGAGATGTTAAGGTACCCCTAAATCCCAGTTTTACAAAGCCTTTCCACAGCATTGCTTTGTGTCTGTATGCATGCCTATTTTCTTAAAATACTTTCGTATGAGTGGGGACAAGAACAAAAATAACACTTAAATGGCAAACCATCCCCCCTTTCCAGGATTTAGTTCACCATTTCAAGATATATATATTTTGAAATTGTTGTTGAAAGGGCATAAGGCCTATGAAGATCCCCAGAAGTTGTCCAACCTGGCATACATTATAACTCTTTGGAGAAAACAAAATGGTAGGGTGAGACATCCCTTTCGGGAAATCCAAAATATTCCAAAATCAACCACGTGATACCTTTGCTTATTTATTGTTTATTGTACAGAAACTTTGTGTTATGAGCCATTATTAGAAATGTTCTGTATAAAATTGACTTTAGGTTATATGTATAAAATGTATATAAAAGATAAATGCATTCAGTGTTTAGACTCGAGTCCTACCTTCAGGATCTCATTACATAAAAAGGTAAAGGTTTCCCCTTGACATTAAGTCCAGTCGTGTCCGACTCTGGGGGGAGGTTCTCATCTCCATTTCTAAGCCGAAGAGCCGGCATTGTCCGTAGACACCTCCAAGGTCATGTGGCTGGCACGACTGTATGGAGTGCTGTTACTTTCCTGCCAAGGCAGCACCTATTGATCTACTCACATTTGCATGTTTTTGAACTGCTAGGTTGGCAGAAGCTGGGACTAACAGAGGGAGCTCACCCTGCTCCCCGAATTCGAACCACTGACCTTATAGTCAGCAAGTTCAGCAGCTCAGCAGTTTAACACACTGTGCCTCTCATTATGTACATATATGCAAATAAAGGTATTCCAAAACTTGGGGGGGGGGGGGAAATCCTAACTCCAATTTACCCCTGGTCCCAAGCATTTCAATTGAGTGAAACTCAACCTGTATCTCTGGATCAAGAAAACAGGTGGAACTATATGCATTACTTATTACATATATGAGCAGGTAGAAGGGGATAATGGAATATAAATATTTGTCCCCTATCAGTGATCAGAAAAAAATCAGCAGGATCCTGCTAGTCTTTTTCAACTGGAAGGAAGTGGAAGAATTCTCAGCCCTTCCAGGATTAGACTAATGGGTCCTGGGGTCCTTCCAGACAGGCCCTATTTCCCAGGATCGGATCCCAGGCTTTCTTCTTTACAGTGGATGATATAAGTCTGCACTGCCAGATAATCTTGGATAAACCGAAAACTTGAGATCATATCCTCGGATATAGGGCCTGTCTGCAAGTACTCCTTGACAAATGTATAGGTCACAGATAGCGCTGCTTTGGGTGTGCTTTCCCTGTACAGCAAAGGATTGGACTGGATGGCTCTTGTGGTCTCTTCCAACTCTCTAATTCTATGAGATTCTAGAAGAAACCTTTGGGGAATGTCTGCGTCAAAGTTTTCTTGCCTGGAGGAAGTCGAATGTTCTCTGCTGATGCTTCTTCCGCAAATCCCAGATGAAATCTTGGACCTTGGTGCGTTCCCTGGAGAGCTCCGCCATGTGCTCGCTCTTCTTCAACAGCATCTCTTCCACAGCATCGTCCATTTTAGAAATCCTACGGTTGCATAGCTCAGTCATGTACTGGTGTATGCTCTCGAAGCAGCGTATCACAAGCTGCTTCTCTGCCTCCACTTGTTGCTGCAAGGAAGCGGGTGGATGGAACAGGAAACAGCAAGTTAAAGTCACTTCAGAAACAACATCAGTTGGAGGAGGATAAAGTGTGTTGCCATCTTAAAAAATTGGTCTCATCTTATTTTGGAAACTAAGCAGGATCAGGGTTGGCTTACACTGGGTGCACAATTTATAGGACATAGGAAATTCCTAGAGAGATCATTTCCCCAAAACAAAGATAAGTGAAAGAGTAGATAATGATTTTGCATGTATGAGCATCTTACTGTAATAAGTTATTCAGTACCTACCCTGATTTCTTAAAAGATAATTCCTAGTAAGAAAATTCACCAGTGAAAAAAAAAGAATGCTACCAAATGGAGGACCCTGTCACCGAAGCCTTCATAACATTCAGACTTTGAGAAAGTTCCTTTTTGGGAAGTACAACTCCCATAACCTCCTGCCAGTAAAGCCACTGGAATTGTCATCTAAAAATACAGCTTGTTGACCAGATGAATCACCACTACCACCATCTGGCTGACTGCAGGTTCTGAGAGCTGTATAGTTTTCAAGCTCTGAATCCAGTGAATGAGGAGTATGGCAGCAGCAGAAAAAGCTTATCCTGAAATTACTGAATGTTTACAGAAAATTCAGCTTTGGTTGATAGTCACATAAGAAATCTTTTCCTTCTATGACAAACAATAGTCAAAAAAGATGGCTTCAGAAAGGAGATTCCATCTGGACATGAGTAAGAACTTCCTGACTTTGAGAGCTGTTCAGCAGTGGAACTCTCTGCTCCAGAGTGTGGTGGAGGCTCCTTCTTTGGAGGCTTTTAAGCAGAGGCTGGATGGCCATCTGTTGGGGGTGCTTTGAATGCAATTTTCCTGCTTCTTGGCAGGGGGTTGGACCGGATGGCCCATGAGATCTCTTCCAACTCTATGATTCTAAGAAGTCTCATCCTTACTGTATGTTTTTGATTTTGATGAATAAACCTCCTAAAATCTATATAAATAAAAATGTAATGTTCGTTTGTGGGATTAACATAACTCAAATCCACTGGACAAATTGGCATGAAATTTGGACACTACACCCTAACAGACCAACGAGTGACCATCACTCATAAACCCCTCCCAAAAAACAGCAGAAAGAACTTAAACACCCCAAAAAGCTGAATGACAATACAGTGCATGTGTGAAAACGACAGTTCCCAGCATTCCCTAGACCACACCCTTTAGGGGAGGAGGATGCTCCAAATGCCCTGCTTCCAAGCTGCAAGCTTGCTTCTCCTTGGATTTCTTTGAGAGCATCCCAATCTATACATATTTCCTATTTTCTATTCCTGGACTGCAACTCCCAGCAATCCTCCAGATAGATAAAATAGATTAGATAGAGAAAGACAGTAGGTAGACAGATCAATCAGGAGGACTGCTGGGAGTTGCAGTCCAAGAATAGGTAGAGAAGGAAGAAAGAGAAAGAAAAAGGAAGAGGAAGGAAGAGAAGAGGTAGAGGAGGAAGGAAGGATAGAAGGAAAGAAAAAAGGGAAGGAAAAAGGGAGGGTGGGAGGGAAGGAAGGAGAGAAAGAGGGAGAGAGGGAAGGTTGGCCACAGCAATGCGTGGCGGGTACAGCTAGTTCACAATAAAATGGGAGTAGTTAATGTCCTACCAATGGTGATACCTACCATAACACCTTGCCATTGTTTTTCCATAAGTGACTTGTGCATCTCAATGTCTTCCTCCTCTTTCAACAACTCATCAATGCGGTTTACAATCACATCCTGAAAGGAAGAACATAGAAAATACAGTCAGCTCTCAACATTCCCTGGGGATAGAGGCATAAGATTTCCCACAAAAGTAAAAAACCACAAATAATAAAGCTGCCAGTTTTTAACTTGAGGGAACACCTCCCTGGGAATCTCTAGGTTCTCCAGCATGATTCAATACTCAACATACATTTGTAAACTTTCTCTGAAATGCTGTGCCTAAAATACCTCCCCACTTAATGCGGTTCCTATTCATGGACTCAAATTGCTGTTTTCAATCTGCTAGGTGGGTGGGGAGCTGGACTGAAGGTCAGGAGCTCACCCTGACCTGGCTTCAAACTGTCAACCTTTTGGTTAGCATGATTTACTGCATCTGGGGATGAACCTGCTGTGCTAAATCACATATACTTCCTACCTTGTATTCATTGGCAGCTTCTGATGCAGAGACAGCATTGTGAGCCAGGTGATCCTTGGTTTTCTCACACTCAGGGCAGAAAGAGAGAAGATGGTCCTTGCAGAAGTATTTCACGGCCTGCCGATGTTCCTTGCAGATTTTCCCTCCTTCAGCTATTTCGGTCCTCTCCTGACACACCCATTTGACCATTTTCACAGCTTTGGCCAGTTCAGTATGTGGCTTGAGGTTTCCCCGAAGAGTTGGCTTCTTACATCGAGGGCACAAGGTCTCCGTCTTACATTCCCTCCAGGAGTGCAGAATGCAGGAATGGCAGAAGTTGTGATCGCAATCCAAAGTGACAGGATCTATGAAATACTCATGGCAGAGGAAGCATGTTGCCTCGAACCAGTCATTCATCCCAGTGACCTTAGACATCCTGTTGCTAAAATGGACTGGGTTTTTGCCTTCCTTTTCTGCCAATGTGTGGAGAGCCCTCAGAGGAAGAAACCAAACCAGTTCCTGTTTTTGGAAGCACTGTAAAGGAATGACTTCCAACCTGAGTGAAGAGAGCAGAGAAACAGTGGGGACTGAAGGCTGTCATCTTGGATTTCCACCCAATTTTCCAAGGTCTTGATGTCCCAAACATGTGCTGGGAAGGTGCGAGAAGGAACAAGGACATCCTGCTATAGAAGGTACTGCATGCCTCACCATAACTCTAATCCCAGATATGTACATTTATAATGGGGTTAAAGGGGGATTAGGATAGCGGCACTTTGCACATGCTCAGAATAATCATTAATTAATTTTTTAAGCATTTATATTCCACCCTTCTCACCCCAAAGCGGACTCAGGGTGGAGCACAATATAGGTAAAGGTTTTCCCCTGACATTAAGTCCAGTTGTATCAGACTTTGGGGGTTGGTGCTCATTTCCATTTCTAAGCCGAAGAGCCAGTGTTGGCCGTAGACACATCCAAGGTCATGTGGCTGGCTTGACTGCATGGAATGTCATTACCCTTCCAGCTGGCAGTACCTATTGATCTATTCACATTTGCATGTTTTTGAACTGCTAGGTTGGCAGAAGTTGGGGCTGACCGCGGGAGCTCATGTCACTCTCCAGAATCGAACCTGCAACCTTTCAGTTATCAAGCTCAGCAGCTCGGTGGTTTAACCCACTACACCACTGGGGGTCCCGCACAACATATAAACAGCAAACATTCAATGTCGGGACATAAAGAAACTATAAGGTAAAGGTTGTCCCCTGACATTAAGTCCAGTCATGTCTGACTCTGAGGTGTGGTGCTTATCTCCATTTCTAAGCCGAAGAGCCAGCGTTGTCCATAGACACCTCCAAGGTCATGTGGCCGGCATGACTGCATGGAGCGCCAGAGCGGTACCTATTGATCTACTCACATTTGCATGTTTTTGAACTGCTAGGTTGGCAGAAGCTAGGGCTGACAGCGGAAGCTCACGCCGCTCCCCGGAATCGAACCTGCAACCTTTCGGTCAACAAGCTCAGCAGCTCAGCGCTTTAACCACTGCGCCACCGGGGGCTCCTAAACTATACACATACATAAACATTAAAATAACTAAAATAACTAAAATCATTCATCTCAACATTAAACCCACTGTTTAAACTGTATACCTAATATATTGGGTATCAAACTTATTTTAATCAAATTTATTTATTTATCGTACTTATATTCCACCCTTCTCCCCCTGAAGGGGACTCAGGGCGAACACATATACGGAAAACAGTCAATGCTGATTATACAATGACAAGACAGACAACAGATAAAGGTATATATATAGGCTTTTTCTCATTGTTTGGCATCTTTGGAGGCTGTGCTCGGTTCTGACTACAGGGGAGTGCTGTCATGCCATCTCCTTGCTGAAGAGCTTTCTTCATTTGTAAACTTTCTGTACCTACAATACCTCCCCACTTAATCTGGTTCCTATTCATGTACTCACATTGCCGTTTTTGATCCGCTAGGTGGATGGGGAGCTGGGCTGAATGCCAGGAGCTCACTTTGACCTGGTTTCGAAATGTCAACCTTTCAGTTGGCAAGATTTACTGCAGCTGCAGCTGGTGATTAACCTTCTGCACTTAGGTCACATCAGCCTTATGGCTGCCTTCAAAGGGCTGTTAAACCCATGAATAGAGAATCTCTGGGTACAGAGGGCGCACTAGAACTTTTGTGCATATTGGGTCTTTAGTTTTTAACTAATTTGTGTCCCCAGATGTTATTGAAGGACAACTCCCATTGCTTTTGCTTATCCAGCGTGTGAACCGGGGATAATGGGAATTGCAGCCCAACAGCTCTTACGGATCTGAGGTTGGCGAAAGGCTAAAGGACATTCTGAAGTCTGATATCATATCCTCAAATCTTGTTTCTCAATTCACACTCTCCTGACTAAACAGAACAAACTGCAGCCTTCCTAATGTTCCTGTATCATAACTCCCATGTGCTCTAGTCATAATATCTAATGTTGAAGAATAGGTAAGCTAAAGGTAAAGGTTTTCCCCTGACATTAAGTTCAGTCATGTCCGACTCTGGTGGGTGGTGCTCATCTCCATTTCTAAGCCAAAGAGCCAGTGTTGTCCATAGACACCTCCTAGGTCATGTGGCCAGCATGACTGCATGGAGCACCGTTACCTTCTCACCAGAGCAGTACCTATTGATCTACTCACATTTGCATGTTTTCGAACTGCTAGGTTGGCAGAAGCTGGGGCTGACAGCGGAAGCTCACGCCACTCCCCGGATTCGAACCTGCGACCTTTCGATCAACAAGCTCAGCAGCTCAGTGCTTTAACCCACTGCGCCACAGGGGGCCCTAGGATGAGGAATATAGGGGTTGTATTCATTTATTATTTTATTTCAAAGATTTGTACCCCATCCTTCTCAACTCCGGGGGGACTTAGGGTGGCTTACATCCGGCACAATTCGATGCCATTACATATAAATAACATACCGTAATACATATAAAAACACAGTAAATTGATTTCAAAATTAGTTTTAAAATAAAAAGTACATTAATCAAAAGTGCAATAATAGACCAGTATTTGGAGGGCACCAGTAAATGGCATGGGGGGCCTTGAGTTTGGCCCATATGCCCCAATGCCTAATGAGGGAAGGATTCATGTTCAAGCACCAGGAAAGAGGGAGGGAAAGATTATCAGAGAAAGGGACAAACAGGGAAGGAGTAGGCATAACATGTAGAGTCCTTTTAAAAAGATAACTCCTCAAATCCTTTGTTGCTGCTTGCTGTTGTTTTTCAAAGGAACATTCTTGTTTCTTTAAACTGCTTCAAAGAGTTCTTTTCATTCATTTAAATCTGAATCCAGTAGCTCAAGGCACAGCTGGAAGCCAGCACCTGATCTATGCCCTGATAGTCCTTTAACTATAGAAGTCATTGTCGTGCACCTTCAGGCCATTTCCTATCTATGCAAAATGTATTACAGGTTTTATTGGGCTGAGAGGCCTAAGGTCATCCAATGAATTTTCACGCAGGGAGTTTAACCACTCTGGATACTGAGTCAAGTAACTTTATTTATTTATTATTAACCATATTTAAAGCCTGGCTTTCATACCCTGTAAGGCAGTGTTTCTCAACCTTCCTAATGCCTTAATATAGTTCCTCATTTGTGGTGAACCCCAGCATTTACATTATTTCTGACACAATAAAAAAAATCTAGCCCAACGGGTGGAGGTTTAGCACAGCTGGTAAATCATCAGCAATTATAAGATCTATCAACCAAAAGGTTGCAAGTTCGAAGCCCCGGGTTGGTGTGAGCTGCCAACTGTCAGCCTAGCTCATTGTTTACCTAAGCAATTCGAAAACAGCTTTAGCTGTGATTCGAGAAATTAGGTACCGCTAAAAGCGAGGGAGGTGTTTTACGGCACCATAAAGAAAGAAGATCAGAAAATGCTGGATGACCAACCTTCCATGGTACCAAAAACAGCTGGACACGGAGTCAAAACAAACCACCTCCTTCTGTTCTGTCTGTCTGTCTATTGTCTATACAAATGGCACTGAATGTTTGCCGTGTAAATGTACTATGATCTACCCTGAATCCCCTTTGGGGTGAGAAGGACGGAATATAAATAAAGTGTTATTACTATTATTATAATGCAATATCTGATACCCTGGAAGTATTTTCATTCACAGGACCAAATTGGGCACATACCCCATACACCCAAATCTGAGTGCTGGTGGGATGGGGGAGATTGATCTTGTCATTTGGGAGTTGTAGTTGCTGGGATTTATAGTTCACCTACAAAAAAGAGCATTCTGAACTCCACCAACGATGGAATCGAACCAAACTTGGCACTCAGAACTCCCATGACCAACAGAAAATACTAAAAGGATTTGGAGGGCATTGGCCTTGAATTTTCGAGTTGTAGTTCACCTACATCCAGTGAGCACTGTGGACTTAAACAATGATGGATTGGACCAAACTTGGCATGAATACTCAATATGCTCAAATCTGAACACTGGTGGAGTTTGACGGAGGAGGGCTTTTGGTGGGAGGAAGAGAAGGATAGGTGGAGAGATCTTCAGCCTTCTCTGACAGAAGGACATCTAGGACACTTAGAAATATTTGTTTTCTGATGGTCTTTGGTGACCCCTCTTTGGGGTTTTATATCTGTGGAATGTCCAGGGTGGGAGAAAGAACTCTTGTCTGTTTGAGGTAGGTGTGAATGTTTCAATTGGCCACCTTGATTAGCATTTAATGTCCTAGCAGTTTCAAGGTCTGGCTTCTTACTGCCTGGGGAATCCTTTGTTGGGAGGTGGTTCTTTGGCCCTGATTGTTTCTTGTGCGGCATTCCCTTGTACCTCCAACAGATAAGAGTTCTTTCTCCCACCTTGGACATTCCACAGATATATAAACCCTGTTTTCCCAGTTTCCAACAAACCTCACAATCTCTGAGGATGCCTGCCATAGATGCTGGTGAAATGTCAAGAGAGAATGCTTCTGGAACATGGCCATACAGCCCGGAAAGCTCACAACTCAGTGATTCTGGCCATGAAAGCCTTTGACAATACAATTGCATTACAGACAGTGCAATTACATATAATTACATTGAACTGCATTTAGTACAACAGAACTTAATAGAAGAAGTGCATATTAAAAATGCATATTATATTCAATGCAGTTAAATATAATTCCATTTAATTGCATTTTATACAATAAATGAATGTTAAATGCAGGCCTGTTAATACAATTTCATCTTATTCCACGTAATTCATTATAATCACCACACTAAAACAGTAGATGTGGCTCTTAATGAGACATGCCGCATTATCACAGGGTGTCTGCGCCCCACACCACTGGAGAAATTACACTGCTTAGCCGGTATTGCACCACCTGACATCCGCCGGGAAGTAGCAGCCAATAGTGAAAGGACCAAGGCAGAGACATCTCCAGCTCATCCCCTGTTTGGGTATCAGCCAGCACTTCAACGACTTAAATCAAGAAATAGTTTTCTTAGATCTACAGAGACACTCTCTGGAACACCCCAGCAAGTGAGAGTCCAAAAGTGGCAGGGTCAAACCCAGAACCTCAATCCGTGGGTGATACCAGGTGAGAGGCCCCTTCCTGGGCACACAGAAGACTGGGCGACTTGGAAGGAGCTGAACAGACTGCGCTCTGGCACCACAAGATGCAGAGCCAATCTTAAGAAATGGGGCTACAGGGTGGAATCCTCGGCATGCGAGTGCGGAGAACAACAAACCACGGGCCACCTGCTGCAATGCACCCTGATCCCTGCCACATGCACAATAGAGGACCTTCTTGCGGTAACACCAGAGGCACTCCAAGTGGCCAGATACTGGTCAAAGGACATTTAACCAACTACCAAATTTGCAAAATCTGTGTTTTTTTTTCTTTTTCTTTTTAATCTGTGTGTTTGCTTTGCTCTGCTAGAACTGTAATACAATGGTATGGTTGCTGATGACACGATAAATAAAATAAATTATAATTATATTTAATTGCCTTTAAAACAATGGTGCAATATAATTTAATTCAAGAAATTTGTTCAGAGGTGTGAATTTAACATACAATGCCATTGTATTCAATGCAATTAAACATAATTATATTTGTTTGCATTTATTACAATTGCTGCAATACATTTTTATGCAAGAGATGCACATTAATTGCAGCACAATCTGCTAGTTTCTACCTCTTGCACTCTCATAAAGGCTTACCTGGAGGGAAAAGAAACAAATAAAATGAAGAAGTCAATGAGTTGAATCGAGGATCCTCCAAAAAGCAGGACTCAATGCTTCCCAATGGAGAAAAACTTACATGGAACACACCTAACTCCTTTAAAGGTCCCTCTTGGCCCCGCCTTTTTATGCTAGTGAACTACACTTCCCGAAGGCCAATGAGAGAAGAGAGGGTTGCCTGCGTCCACTCCGATTGGTCGAATTTGAAAACAGTTGTGTCCAATGGAGGTTCTCCTTTCTTTCCCTAATCTGGGCATTTAATTCTGTGGCATGCTTGGACTTGTTGCAAGAAAGGGTGTGTCAATATCAGGCTTGGGCACTCTTGGGCCCTCCAGGTGTTTTGGACTTCAACTCCCACAATTCCTAACAGCCTACCGGCTGTTAGGAATTGTGGGAGTTGAAGTCCAAAACACCCGGAGGGCCCAAGTGTGCCCATGCCTGGTCTACATTGTAGAATTAATACAGTTTAACCCCACTTTAACTGCTATGGCTCAATGCTATGGAATCTTGGGATTTGTAGTTTTACTAGGGCTTTAGACTTGGTGAGTGCTGGAGCCTCACCAAGCTACAACTCCCAGGATCCCATAGCATTGAGTCCTACTAGCTAGACTGAGGTCAAACCGGGCTGTAGGGCAGCTAGTTAGTACCCAGTTGCATTAAATCACTACTGACTGAGAGGTCATGAATTTCAACCCAATCCAGGTCGGAGTAAGCTCCCGACCATTAATAGTCTAGCTTGCTGTTGACCTATACAGCCCGAAAGACAGTTGCATCTGTCAAGTAGGAAATTTACCGCTTTATGCGAGGTTAATTTAACTAATTTACGGCACCATAAAACCTTCCAGCAGCATGTGTAAGAATGAGGGATTACTCCATCAAGGACTCGGTGTCACAAGTGGAAGGGAATGTGGCCGGAATCGAGTTGACCCTCATGAAGCAGGAAAAGCTGGAATGTTAAATTGCCTCTGTGTCTGTCTATATATATTGTGTGTCTATGGCATTGAATGTTTGCCATGTACATGTACATTGTAATCTGCCTTGAGTCCCCTGCAGGATGAAAGGGCAGAATATAAATACTGTAAATTATATTGTGTGTCTATGGCATTGAATGTTTGCCATGTACATGTACATTGTAATCTGCCTTGAGTCCCCTGCAGGATGAAAGGGCAGAATATAAATACTGTAAATAAATAAATAAATAGGTTAACATCAAAACTTTGAATCGAGCTCAGAAACTAAGAAGCAGCCTTGGAGCTGGGGTAGCAAGGGAGTTGTCCGCGCCCTGTACACACTCTTGTGAGCAACCTGCCTGCCGAGCGTTGGACTAGCTGAAGCTTCTAAGCAGTTTTCAGAGGCAACTCCATGTAGAATGTGTTGCAGTAGTCTATTCAGGATGTAATCAGAGCATGGACCACCATGGCCAAGTTAGACCTCCCAAGATACGGGTGCAGCTGGCGCACAAGTTTTAACTGTGCAAAAGCTACCAAATTGGGAGGGATAGCCAATACTCCAGAGGACAGGAGCAGGATTCAAAATGATCTTGACAGATTAGAGAGATGGGCCAAAACTAACAAAATGAAGTTCAACAGTGACAAATGCAAGATACTCCACTTTGGCAGGAAAAAAATGAAATAGATACAGAATGGGGGAGGCCTGGCTCGAGAGCAGTACGTGTGAAAAAGATCTTGGAGTCCTCATGGACAACAAGTTAAACATGAGCAAACAATGTGATGTGGCGGCAAAAAAAGCCAATGGGATTTTGGCCTGCATCAATAGGAGCATAGTGTCTAGATCTAGGGAAGTAATGCTACCCCTCTATTCTGCTTTGGTTAGACCACACCTGGAATATTGTGTCCAATTCTGGGCACCACAATTCAAGAGAGATATTGACAAGCTGGAATGTGTCCAGAGGAGGGCGACTAAAATGACCAAGGGTCTGGAGAACAAGCCCTATGAGGAGCGGCTTAAGAGCTGGGCATGTTTAGCCTGAAGAAGAGAAGGCTGAGAGGAGACATGATAGCCATGTATAAATATGTGAGAGAAAGTCAAAGGGAGGAGGGAGCAAGCTTGTTTTCTGCTGCCCTGGAGACTAGGCCACGTGAAACAATGGCTTCAAACTACAAGAGAGGAGATTCCATCTGAACATGAGGAAGAACTTCCTGACTGTGAGAGCCGTTCAGCAGTGGAACTTTCTACCCCAGAGTGTGGTAGAAGCTCCTTCTTTGGAAGCTTTGAAACAGAGGCTGGATGGCCATCTGTCAGGGGTGATTTGAATGCAATATTCCTGCTTCTTGGCAGGGGGTTGGGCTGGATGGCCCATGAGGTCTCTTCCAACTCTTTGATTCTATGAAAAGCTCCCCTGGCCAGCGCCGAGAACTGGGGTTCCAGGCTCAGCAATGAGTCCAGAATCACTCCCAAGTCTTAATGTGAGGGAAAACGTTTACCTTTACCTTTATTTTACCTAACATCTCATGAGCCTTGGACAATATCTAATCAAACCAATTTAGCCAGATAAACAGACTAGTTTATCCCCAGGGAAATGGCTGCCATCACAGGAGTCCTTGGATCATAATGGAAGACAAAGCTCAAGTTGTGGATGATTGAATTTGTGGATGCAGATGGAATGAATGGATTGAATGAACTGTATGCCTTATATTAGTAAGCCATGATAAGGCTGAAGACAGCATCCCAAAAAGGGAACCTGAAAACTGCAAAGGAGGTGAAGTATTCCAAAGTTCATAAACTTTGGCTAGATCAAAGCTGATGAGAGAAAAACTATCTAACTGAGAATTTTGGGTGCAAACAACCCATGTTTACACAGTCAAAGACAATGGCTTTGAGTCATAAATGAAAGCAAAGCTTTGCTTTCATACAAAGCAAAACTGCAAAAAGTAATCTGCTGCCTTCTATCAATTTCAACCAGATGTATCTCCGGGCTTTTGTCAGTGACTTTACTTCTGGCAATTTCTACCAGCTTCAACATTACTTTAATTGGCATGGCTCTGTGCAATAGAGCTGTGAGAGTTGTCATTTGACAAGCCTTCTGTGTCAAAGAGTACAGATGCGTCACCAAACTACAAATTCCATATTTTCATAGCATTGAGCCACAGCGTCAAGCTGCATTCATTATTTGATTTTGCTTAGCTGTTGCAGACAGCCAATTCTCTCACACCAGAAGCGACTTGCTGTTTCTCAAGTCACTCCTGACATGGGGGGGAGGGGAAGCTGTACATGCATGGCTACTCTATATTGAAAAAGGCAGTATAGAATCTCCAGGAGACCCAAAGTTTCCATGGCTGCTCTCATCAGTCTTCCTGATCCACTTGAGCAGACATGGGCTCTTCTAGAAGTTATCATAGTCTTTAAAGGACAGGGATTGAAGAAGTCTTTTTGGACTAAAGCTGCCAGAATTCTTCGTCCAACATTTCCTATGGCCCTCTTTACTGGGAAAGTCTCTTGAGGTGTACTCTTAAATCATCCTCTAACCAGGTCTGTACGATTAGATTTAGGTCACATAGATCACCTCAACATTGAAGAGTTAATGCAGTTTAACCCCACATCAAATTCCATGCTATGGAATCCTGGGATTTATAGTTTGGTGAAGCACCAGCACTCTTTGGCGGAGAAGGCTCGAGACCTTGGAAAACTACAACTCCCACTTCTGTAGCACTGAGCCATGGCAGTGAAAGTAATACTTGTATGTTTTAATGAAAAAGTATAGGAAAAAACAGTATCTTATTTAGGTGGCAGAAATAAATATAAATTTGAAACACTGTTTTTCATTTAAACCAGTTTCATTTCAGTAGGTTCCACAGGACATTGGTGGAGCAACAATTTCAAACCATGACCTAAACTGGAACTTCTGAGAATCTTCTGAGGCCATTGGTGCATTTGATGGCCTATGCGTGGGGAAACAATGTTGGACAGTGGTTAGAATTGGACAGAGTGTGATTCCAGGTGTAGTCTAACCAAGGCAGAATAGAAAGGTAGCAAGACTTTCCTGGATCTAGACACTCGACTCCTATTTATGCAATGGGCAAAAATCCCATTGTTTTTTTTTTTAGCTGCCACATCACATTGCTGACTCATGTTTAACTTGTTGTAATCAGCATTTCTCTCAGCCTGGGGGTCGGGACGCCTGGGGTGGGGTTGCGATGGGGGTGTCAGAGGGGTTGGCAAAGACCAACAGAAAACAGTATATTCTATTAGTCATAGGGTTTCTGTGTGGGAAGTTTGGCTCAATTCTATCGGTGGAGTTCAGAATGCTCTTTAATTGTAGGTGAACTATAAATCCCAGCAACTACAACTCCCAAATGTCAAGGTCTAACCCCCACCCCCCAAACTCCACCAGTGTTCACATTTGGGCATATTGAATTTGTGCTAAGTTTGGTCCAGACCCACCATTTTTTGAGTCCACAGTACTCTTTGGATGTGGGTGAACTACAACTCCAAAACTCAAGGTCAATGCACACCAAACCCTTTCTGTGGGTCATGAGAGTTCTGTGTACCAAATTTGGTTCAATTCCATCACTCGTGGAGTTAAGAATGCTCTTTAATGTAGGTGAACTACAAATCCCAGTAACTACAATTTCCAAATGACAACATCAATCCCCCAACCCCACCAGTATTCAAATTTGGGTGTATTGGGTATTTTTGCCAAGTTTGGTCCAGTGAATGAAAATACATCTGGCATATCCAGTATTTATATTATGACTCATAACAGTAGCAAAATTAGTTATGAAGTAGCAACGAAAATAATGTTATGGTTTGGGGTCACCACAACATGAGGAACTGTATTAAGAGGTCGTGGGATTAGGAAGGGTGAGAAACAGTGGTTTAAATAGAGTATAATAAAACAAATATTTGCCGCTTGAAGCTTACAATGTCACCTTTGATGTAGATGCAACAAGAAAAAAACAAACAAATGTAGTTGGGTAAACAGATAGATGGGGACGTTTGAGTGAGAGGAATACATGCATTTGGTTGTATAATCTAGGAGCTGCCTTTCTCCAATGATGTGACATGAGCCTTGGATATCTGCTTTTTCCAGATCTCCCAGCTATATTCCAATATATGCTTTCAGAATTGAAATATCACAAAACTTTTTGATTCTGTTTTAAGGGGAACAAGCATTGAAACAGTGTAAATAGACAGGAAGCTGAATCTATAGAGAGTTGGACTAATTTGTATTTTCAAGAAAATTGAAAGAGTCAAATCATGTTCTTGTTTGGCTCAAGCGAGGTATCCTTCAAGATGTAAGAATGGTCAGTCAAATTTGACAGATTTAATATCAAGGTCTCCTGCAACAGAGAAGTACTCCGCAGTCTCCAGCCCTAGACGGTTTGGGAATTTAAGTTCTTGTCCTTCAGGCAGCTTTACAGTAACTTCTTCAGCATCAAAGGAGACACAGATCTGGAAGAAAGATAAACAAAAATCAGAGCTATTCCCAAGAAGGGTGTGTCCATTTGGAGTCTTGACACTTGGATTGGGCCATTGCTATGGGATTTATTTGGGGGGGGGGGGAATAAATGGGACAGTAAATTTTTGGGAGGGAGATGGTCATTTCGCCACATTTCTAGGGGTCTTGTGACTCTATGTGGATGTGGAAGACCGCTTATACCAATGCCCATAATACTTGACCATTGGTCATTTAATGTTTCTGACTGATTTTAATGGACACAGATCATGTATGTAAGATTTTGTCTTACACAGAGGGGAGGAATATAAATATTTACATATAAAGAGTATGTACATATATAGTTGACTAAAGCTGACTGTGAGAGCCGTTCAGCAGTGGAACTCTCTGCCCTGGAGTGTGGTGGAGGCTCCTTCTTTGGAAGCTTTTAAGCAGAGGCTGGATGGCCATCTGTCAGGGGTGATTTGAATGCAATATTCCTGCTTCTTGGCAGGGGGTTGGACTGGATGGCCCATGAGGTCTCTTCCAACTCTTTGATTCTATGATTCTATGATTCTCTCGGCTGATATCCTTGTCCATTTGAGTTAATTTTCTAATGCACATGCAGGAAATTTGGCTGCAGGCTTTGTTTAATTTTAATTAAAATCTCACCTTTCTCCTGATAATAGGACCCCAAAGTACTTGTAAAATAAATTAAAGCAACATACAACAATAATCTGGGAAACAATTTAATGAGACTAGGATGTGGAACAATGGCTTCAAACGACAGGAAAGGAGATTCCACCTGAAAATTAGGAAGAAAATCCTAACTGTGAGAGAGAGCTGTTCAGCAGTGGAACTCTCTGCCCCAGAGTGTGCTGGAGGTTCCTTATTTGGAGGCTTTTAAGCAGAGGCTGGATGGCCCATGAGGTCTCTTCCAATTCAATGATTCTATGTTTCTATGATTAGGTAAACTACAGTATTCCATAGGGAAGGGTTTATCTATACCATTGAATGAAGACATTTAGACACCATTTTAACTGCCATGACTCCATCCTATCGAATCCTAGGATTTGTAGTTTGGTGAGGGCATTATTACTCTTTGAGAGAGATGGCTAAATGCCTACTTTTGATGGCTAAAACCACAGATCCCATAGGTTTGATCCATAGTCATAAACATGGTGTCAAACTGCATTCATTCTAAAGCAGTAGTTCCCAACCCGTGGTCCGTAGACCACCAGTAGTCCGCAAGAATGAAAATATGGTTCATAGCCTCAGCATTACTACACCTTTGCAATGAGTGTAACTGGTCTTGCAAAACCCTCTTATAGTGCCGAGGCTTATTAAACATGGTTTTCTGTGGGCTAGGAGATGGCGACTACTGGATGGCATATGTTCTGTATCAGAAACTAGAGCTGATGTGGTCTATCCAATGCAATTTTCTGAATCAGCACTCCAAATAACCAAACCGAATCTAAAGTTGACTAAAACTTGATTTGTAACCCTTTTGGTACTGATGTTGGAGTGTGGTCCTTGGTAAAAAAAAACAAAAAAAACATTGAGAACCACTGTTCTAAAGTATAGATGAACTCCAATACTCCCTGTAGATATCTGAAACTATGGACAGTAGCAAAAGCTATATTTTGACTATCTTTGGGCTGGAAGAATACCATAGAATCTTACTGAAAGATCTAGAGAGGCCAACATAAACATGTGGAAGGGAACATTTTTTGGAGTATGGGTAAGTGAAACCTTGGATACCTATGGATAAGGGGACCATACTGTATTCTGTTGAAACACCTCTGATTTAAAACAGTAAAAAAATATATTAAAATACCATAAGAATCATGATAAAGCATGCAATACCCCACAAATGCTTCTACTGTACAACCAGTAGAAGCATTTGCTAAATACCTGTGTAAATAAATATACATCCCAAAAAAGTGTTATATACTAAATTTCAGTGGCAAAATGTCTTGGGAAGGCTGTGAATCCTTCATTCTCATTGCTGCCTTTAAGTTGTCTCCGACTTATGGCAAGTCCTACGGCAGTGGTTCTCAACCTATGGGTCCCCAGATGTTTTGGCCTTCAACTCCCAGAAATCCTAACAGCTGGTAAACTGGCTGGGATTTCTGGGAATTGTAGGCCAAAACACTCAGGAACCCACAGGTTAAGAACCGCTGCCCTAAGGCAGATCTCTCATGGGGCTTCCTAAGGTTGGAAAAACTTGCCTAAGGCCACTCAGTGGGTTTCCATGTCCAAGTTGGGACTTGGACCCTGTTCTCCAGAGTCAGCTCAATGCTCAAACAGTTAGATGGCTCTGTTTCCAAGGCCAATTCCTTGACCCTTTCAATAGGGCACCTCTTCCTCACCTTGGTCTCCTCTCCTTGCTGGAAGGGGAACTCTGACTCTCGCACTTCCTCGCCCCACTCTCCTTCCCTCTTGGAGTTACACACAATGGTCCTGGTGTCTCCATGGAGGTCAAATCGAGGGTTGAAGTGAAGGATCAGGTTGGTCTCATCACAGCCCACATTGATGGCAAAGCTGAAGCAAAGAGAGCTTAATATAATACAGTTCTCTTAATGCAAATCAACAAAACGCATGTTATGCTTCACATAGCCTGAAGGCCATTTTTACAATACAGTCAGTCCTTGAGTCACAGACATCCGCTTTACAAACAAACTCATAGTTAAGAACAGGGGTGAGACAACAGGAAGTGAGAGAAAATCTACCTCTTAGAAGAGAAGAAATTCACTCCTGGAAGAGTTATCATCCAGAAAAGGTGTCTCCACTGAAGCTTTACCTCCAGTAAAGGCAGGCAGACAAATGTCAGTGTGCTGAAAGAAGCAAAGACCACCAGCACAGAAACCATTGTCCAAATGACTGATCACCATCTTCAAAAACAGTTACTCTATTCTCAGCTGAAGAGCAGAAAATGGAAGGTTGGTGGACAGGAAAAGAGATTTCAAGATGGGTTTAAAGCCAATCTTTAAAACTGTGGCATAGACACTGGAAACTGGGAAGCCCTGGCTCTTGAGCACTCTTAACTGGAGGTGAGCTGTTACCAACAATGCTGTGGAATTTGAAGAGACACGAATGAAGGACGAAAGGGAGAAATGGGTCAAGAGGAAGGTGCATCAAGCCAACCCTGACTGGGACTGCCTTCCACCTGAAAATCGATGTCCTCATTGCGAAAGAAATGTGGATCAAAAATAGGTCTCTACAGTCACCTGTGGACCCACTGCCAACACCCTACACTTGGAAGGCCATCCTACTTGGACACGAGTGATCACTGATGATGACGATGATCTCCAATCCTTATTTCCACAAAAAGCCACCTTTTCAAAAATCCAATTATCACAAGGGCAGAAAGTGAGGTGAAATCTTCTAAACAGCAGACAGCAAAACAAACACCATAGGGGTGTTAATCCTTCCCCATGCAATCCAAAGTGAATATGTATATGTGTGTGTGTGTGGATAAATAGACAGATAGCTGGTGTTGCACTTCAAAAAAATTACCTGTTCCAACTTACATACAAATTCAGCATAAGAACAAACCCACAGAACCTTTCTTGTTCGTAACTTGAGGACTGCCTAAATTTTAAATAATTTATTGGCAAGCAAGCAGAAGGCAGTACATCAGGGCAGGCTGATGAAGGGTTAAGTGCTCCGTCCCTTTTGGAATACAGAAGAGTGTGTGCTGCAACCCTTAGATCTTCCCAATTAGCAGAGAAACAGGTTATACAAGTAACACCTGAAAACACAAGAAAACCAGAGAAGTCAGCCATAGCAGAGCACCTGATGAACCAACCTGGACACAGCATATTATTTGAGAACACAGAAATGCTGGACCACTCCAACAACCACCATGTCAGACTACACAGAGAAGCCATTGAAATCCACAAGCATGTGGACAATTTCAACAGAAAGGAGGAGACCATGAAAATGAACAAAATCTGGCTACCAGTATTAAAAAAACTCTAAAATTACTACCGTCAAACAACACAAGGGAAACAATCAGGCACATCTAATCACCTCTCAACAAAAGATTGGCTCAGGCACTGCCAGGCCATCAAATGCTAATCAATGTGGTCAGTTATTTATTTATTTATTTATTTATTTACTCCATTTGTATACCGCATTTATCAGCCTGGAGCGGCGACTCAATGCGGTTTACAGTAAAAATAAACAGTGAACAATATATAAGACGTACATCGACAAACAATACACATAATCATCAACGCCTACTTAGAATCAGATCCCGTTCTCATAGTCCTTAATTCAATCCTTGTTCAATGCCGTCATTATTGGGTGGTTGTTACTGCATAGCTAACCGAATGCCTGCTCATAGAGCCACGTCTTAACCCTCCTTCGAAACACCAGCAACGAAGGGGCCTGCCTGATGTCCACTGGTAACGCATTCCATAGCCGAGGGGCCACTACCGAGAAGGCCCTGTCTCTCGTGCCCGCCAACCGCACTTGTGACGCAAGTTATTGTCCCACCCTGGTCATTCCACAGACATATAAACCCACTTTCCTAGTTCCAATAGACCTCACTACCTTTGAGGATGCTTGCCATAGATGCAGGAGAAACGTCAAGAGAAAATGCCTCTAGAACATGGCCATATAGCCCGAAAAAACCTACAACAACCCAGTCATTCCAGCCATGAAAGCCTTCGACAATACAGGAAAAAGGGTTCTCGGTGTTTCAGTAATGTTATTGGTGGCAACATCTTTGCTTCATGGTGTAACTCCGAACTCTGGATTATCAGCCTTCTTTATTCTGGACTGTACTTTGACTTCTGATTTCAACTGCACTCTCTGCCATCTTTGAACTGCCAGCTTTGTTGGCTTTGGATTGGAATTCTGGTTTCTGTTTGTTGCTTTGTAACTCCTTTGGCCTGATCACGATAATTTGGACTCTGAACTTGGAGTTTATCTCACTCCCAATGGCTAGTGTGTGCTAAAACCGTAAGCCTGTGAGGATTTGGCTCTGGGCTGTCTTATGTAGAACTTTGTTTGAATCTATGTTGTTTAATTGGAACTTGGCATAACACGACAACATGAGGGAACATAGGAATTTCTAGGTCTTCCAGCACCAGTTTCACAGGAAGCAGACTGTATTGGAGGACATAAAGACTCCTTGAAAGTTGTTCTCACTAGGGGTCTCAGGAGCCCCCGGTGGTGCAATGGGTTAAACCCTTGTGCTGGCAGGACTGAAGCCTGACAGGTTGGAGGTTCGAATCTGCGGAGAGCACGGATGAGTTCCCTCTGTCAGCTCCAACTCCCCATGCGGGGACATGAGAGAAGCGTCCCACAAGGATGGTAAAACATCAAAACATCCGGGTGTCCCCTGGGCAATGTCCTTGCAGACAGCCAATTCTCTCACATGAGAAGCGACTTACGGTTTCTCAAGTCGCTCCTGACACTGACACACACACACACACACACTAGGGATCTAGAGGAAGCTGACCATAGAATCAAATCCATGAAATATCAGAGCTGCAAAAGTCAAATCCACAGATGTGGAAGGAAAACTGTACAGTGTTCCCTCACTTATTGCAGGGGTTCCATTCCAGGACCACCCGCAATAAGTGAAAATCCACAAAGTAGGGACACCATATTAATTTTAATATTTATACATTATTTTATGTATTATTTTCATACCCACGCTTCCTTACTGGCCTCCCAGCCCATCCCAAGGGCATCTGCCTGCTTCCCTGGCCTCAGCAGACCCCTGCAGAGTCTCCAGAGCCACACAGACAGCAGCAGGCCTTCCCCGCCGCACCTCAGGCACCCTCACTTCCGGGGTCTGTGGAGGCCAGGGAGGCAGGTCTTCCCCACCATGCCTCAGACCGCCATACTTAGAGGCTCCCTGGCCTCCATTGGACATAATATTTAATATTTTATATTAATAATTTCAAAAACCCACGAAACAGCGAGTTTGCTAAAAGCGAACCGCGAAGTAGCAAGGGAACACTGTACTCTGAAGTCACTGAACCAGGAAATTTGTCATTTCTCCTAAGTTCTCTTTTACAAAAACCTATGACCCCATGAAAACAAACCTTGTGGCCTCGGGTGACACCTTGCCTTTCACTTTGATGCATTCCCCAGACTTTATCTTGGAGTAGAGCATCAGTTTCTAAAAAGAGAAGGACAGATATAAGAACAGAGAAGCCACCAGGAATCTTCCTTATTGTTTTCTACAAATATAAACAGCACAATGGAATAGTGTTGGACTTAGGCCCCCACCTACACTGTCATATAATCTAGCATCCGACCCCAGGCTATCTGCTTTGAACTGGATTATATGGCAGTGTAAACTCAATCTGGATTCAGAAACTGGGGTGTATCTTAAAAACAAAATATCAGATTAAAACACAATTCTAGTAAAAAGTGCATATCTTCATTTATCATTTGTGCCATAATAATATCTATTTGTTAGTTTCTAAGATACACAAGTCATGCCTTTTTGTCTTCCAGTACTCCATAGCATTGAACCAAGGCAGTTAAAGTGGTGTCAAACTACATTAATTCTGCAGTGTAGATGCATCAATAAATTGTAATACAAAAAGTGTAAATAAAATACACGATCGTCATTCGCGTCTTAGTAGCATTTGCTAGTTTCTTTCTGTTCATGCCTTTTTGCCTTCCTTTTTTGGCCACACAATGGAAACTCTCAGAAGTGTGACTTACAGCTACCTTATTAACTTCTTTGGGTTTTCTTAGGCAAGGAAAATCCAGAGGTGTCTTTACTTGTCCCTTCCTTTGGAATAGGGACAGCACCATTAGTGGCCTCCCACCCAAGTCCTAACCCTGCTTAGCTTCCAAGATCAAGGGGTTCTGGAGCCTTTAAGGCAGCATTTCTCAACTTGGGGTTGGGACACCTGAGGAGGGTGTTTCCCCCAAACTCCACCAGTGTTCACATTTGGGCATATTGAGTATCCGTGCCAAGTTTGGTCCAGTTCCATCATTGTATGAGCCCACAGTACTCTCTGGATATAGGTGAACTACAACTCCAGAACTCAAGATCAATGCTTACCAAACCCTTCCAGTATTTTATATTGGTCATGGGAGATTTGTGTGCCAGGTTTGGTTCAATTTCATCATTGGTGGAGTTCAGAATGCTCTTTGATTGTAGGTGAACTATAAATCCCAGCAGCTACAACTCCCAAATGTCAAGGTCTATTTTTCCCAAACTCCACCAGTGTTCACATTTGGGCATATTGAGTATCTGTGCCAAGTTTGGTCCAGATCCATCATTGTTTGAATCCACAGTGCTCTCTGGATGTAGGTGAAACTACAACTCCAAAACTCCAGGTCAATGCCCACCAAACCCTTCCAGTACTTTCTGTTGGTCATGGGAGTTCTTTGAGCCAATTTTGGTTCAATTCCATCATTGGTGGAGTTCACAATGCTCTTTCATTGTAGGTGAACTATAAATCCCAGCAATGACAACTCCCAAATGACAAAATCATTACCCCACAACTCCACCAGTAATCAAATTTGGGCGTATTGGGTATTTGCGCAAAATTTGGTCCAGTGAATGAAAATACATCTTTTATCAGTTAATTTATCAGTTAATTTATTGGTAATTTATCAGTTAAGGAGCCTCCGGTGGCACAGTGGGTTAAACCCCTGTGCCGGCAGGACTGAAGACCGACAGGTCGCAGGTTCGAATCCGGGGAGAGGTGGATGAGCTCCCTCTATCAGTTCCAGCTCCTCATGCGGGGACATAAGAGAAGCCTCCCACAAGGATGATAAAAACATCAAATCATCCGGGCGTCCCCTGGGCAACGTCCTTGCAGACGGCCAATTCTCTCACACCAGAAGCGACTTGCAGTTTTCCAAGTCGCTCCTGACACGACAAAAAAAAAAGTTGTGAAGTGCGAGTGTGGAGAAGAGCAAACAACAGACCACCAATTACAATGCAACCTGAGCCCTGCCACATGCGCAACGGAGGCCCTTCTTATAGCAACACCAAAGTGGCCAGCTACTGATCAAAGGCCATTCAACAGAATGCCAAGTTAGTAAACTTTGTTTTGTTTTGTTTTTAAATACAATACAACTGTTTGGTTCGCTCCCGGCACAATAAATAAATAAGTTGTGAAGTAGCAACGAAAATAATTTTATGGTTGGGGGTCACCACAACATGAGGAATTGTTTTTTGTGTGTGTCCGGAGTGACTTGAGGAACTGCAATTTGCACCTGGCGTGAGAGAATTGGTTGTCTGCAAGGACGTTGCCCAGGGGACCCCCGGATGATTTGATGTTTTTATCATCCTTGTGGGAGGCTTCTCTCATGTCCCTGTAAGAGGAGCTGGAGCTGATAGAGGGAGCTCATCCGCCTCTCCCCGGATTCGAACCTGCGACCTGTCGGTCTTCAGTCCTGCCGGCACAGGTTTAACCCACTGTGCCACCACGGACTCCAGGAACTGTATTAAATGGCTGTGACATTAGGAAGGTTGAAAACTTCTGGCCTACAGCACCACTGGTGGCCTCCCACCCAAGTCCTAACCAGGGAGAACCCTGCTTAGCTTCCAAGATCAAAGGGATCTGGAGCCTTTAAGGTATCACACAGGATCAAAATCCATCCCTTTCAATATGATTTATGAACAGACTATGAACACCTTTTGGAGAAAGACATACTCACGAGGTGGGCTATTCATATTGTTAAATAGACTTTTACACTGTTCATAGAATCAAAGAGTTGGAAGAGACCTCATGGGCCATCCAGTCCAACCCCTGCCAAGAAGCAGGAATATTGCATTCAAAGCACCCCTGACAGATTGCCATCCAGCCTCTGTTTAAAAGCTTCCAAAGAAGGAGCCTCCACCACACTCCGGGGCAGAGAGTTCCACTGCTGAATGGCTCTCAAAGTCAGGAAGTTCTTCCTCATGTTCAGATGGAATCTCCTCTCTTGTAGTTTGAAGCCATTGTTCCACGTCCTAGTCTCCAAGAAGCAGAAAACAAGCTTGCTCCCTCCTCCCTATGACTTCCTCTCACATATTTATACATGGCTATCATATCTCCTCTCAGCCTTCTCTTCTTCAGGCTAAACATGCCCAGCTCCTTGATTAAACTTTACAGCAGGAGGACACATGATAAAACAAAACAGATAAAAACAGTGATAGAAAGAACAATCACAACAATCACTTTTTTTTAGTTTTCTCTTGGCAAGAGTCCCACAAAAGGAGGAACCAAAAACTATTCCATAAACTCACCAGTGCCATTGATAAATCTTCTCAAAGAAGGCAGGAAAAGGAGACACAAAGCCTCTTAAGAGCTTCCAAAGATCTTTCCCAGCTCCAGATTTTCAATAGTCTTCAGGTGCAGGTCTTTCTTCCTCTCAAACCAGAGGTGAAAGCTCTGATCACCCATTAACCAAGAACTCAGTTCATCTCTGCAAGTGGGTGAAGATCATTCAAAAATATTGCAAAATAAATAAATAAATACCCCTTTCGCAAGTTCTAACTCTAAAAGATGCAGAGCCCAGGGAAGTTAATGTTTCTAGGTTAAAGGGGAAGTATTGCAAATGTTGCAGAATTGTTTCCAATGTTCTTTCCTCACTAGAGTCTTTTTCTGATACCTGACACTGTAACTAAAAGTTTCCTTGGACCACTGCAACCATAATCCCTCTTGATGAGCCGCATGAGCAGGTCTTAGCAATCGCTGCAGCCAAGAACTGGACTACAAATCCCATCAGCCTTTCTGCAAGGCCTCCTGATAGGGTTACTCAGCTTCTAAGTTCTGATTGGTTGCCAGGAGAGGACTGCATTGGCGATTGGCTGCCTCTTGGGCAGAGCTAGGAACAGCTGATAGGGATTAAGTAGATCCGACAGAGGAGACCTCTATTGGGTTGCTGTGAGTTTT